ACAAACAGTCTTCCATTTCCTGGAAAGCAGTTCTCACAAGCTCACAGGCCACAAGCACTAATAAGCTAACAGTCAACAGTGCTTTTTCCCCCAAAGAATTTTCCCTTCAGCAGCCTGCCCGGCAGGAAAGCAGGATGTGCTCTCGTCCCTGTTGATATTGGCAATGAGGAACGGAGATGAGGATGTCTATCTGCTTCAGGGAGACCTGAAAGATCCTCCTGAGCCCAAGGCCCCGGGCCACTCCTAGGTTCCCAAGGCAGCCCCCAGAGAAGCTGCAGGCCACTCTGAACCCCTGATCCCAAGTGCATCACCACCTATGCTCATTACTAGAGGCGCTCTGGGCTTAGTGAGCAAGCACAGGCCTGCCGAGGCTGGCCAGGGAAATGGCACTGTGAGCAGGACGTATGTCCATCCACATCCGCGTGACCAGTGGGGCAAGACCAGACATACACGCTGGTCTCTTCCAGTGCCAATATTCCCCGTGGGCAGTGGTCTTCCACATGTGCTCACACACGTCTGCAAACTGCACAGCCCCGTATTAGGGCCCGCCGATCCCCTCCTGGGCCACATCGCACTACGTCTATCATTGCTGAATTCAGTTTGCTGTCCTGAGAAAGGCAGCAGGAGGGGAGAACAGCTTTACAGCGTCTTTAATTAGGCAACAAGAAAAAATAAAATCTGGCTGAAAATTACCACTTGAAGCTTGGCTGATGCCAAAAAAGCAGTACTGGTTCCCTTTTCTTGGAAAGTGGCAATCCACTGAGGGATTCCAAGGACATGGTTGGGGGATGGGAGCAACAGCAGGAAGCCACCGCACTCCTGGAAAAGCAGCTGGTTTTCCTCTGCCCCAGGACATGCCAGTCCCAAATACATCCCCTTTTCGGCAAACAGACCTTCAATGTTAGGAGACAGGTCAAAAACCTCATCTCTGGGGGCCAGCAGTTGGCCTAATGACTGTGTTGCTGGACTCCCATGTAGTCGACCACGGTTCAAGTCCTGGACACAGTGGCTTAAATTCATGCAGGGCGTGTGTGTGTGTGTGCCCAAGATCCTGAGAAGAGAATGGAGAATGGACTGTGGTCTAGCCATCCCCCCTGGGGGTGATGTCTCACTTTCTGTCTCTCTGTCTCTCTGGCGAGTGCACACGCCCTATAGCTAAAACCTCTCAAAAAAAAAAAAAAAAAAAAAGAGAAAGCTCATCTCTGAATGAGAATGGGATCTGGAAGTCAGAGTGGTGAATACAGATCTGGGAGCCCAGGGTGGCATTTTTACAGCCACCTTCTTGTCCCCACCTGCGGGGCAGTTTCCCTGGCTGCTGGCGGAAGCGCTTCACTATGTAGCAGCTGGTGTTCTGACCTGCTTCCAATTAGCAAGGAGAATTTTAAGATAGTTGGAGCTGCTTGGTGGGAATGATCATACCACCCACTTCGTCTGCATCAATAACCTTTCAGATCTCTCACGTTGTCAAGAAAGGGGTCTTCCACTGGCACTTGCAAGGTGATTCTTCTCTTTTAATTTCCCTAATGGGGCCACTAGGTAAACCTAAACCTTCTCCACTGATCCTAACTCACCTACAAGTCCACTCTATGGGGGGAGAGGGGGGCAGGATTTTGGTGTCAAAGATCCAGCAACAGGAGTAGTTCAGAAGTCAGCCCAGTACAGGCCCCCAGTGTCATAGGTAAAAAAAAATTTAAGAGAGATTTTTGCTGTATGGTGTGTGCACTCACCAGAGAGATGAAGCAAGCAAGAAATCACCCCCAGGGGAGATGGCCATGCCACAATCCTTTCTCCTCCATTCTCCTCTTGGGATTTTGGGCATGCACGCACACGCGCCCAGGCCTGTTTTAGGCCTCCAGGTCCTGGACTCGAACCACAGTCGACTACATAGAGTCCAGCGATGTAACCATTATGCCATCTGCTGGCCTCCTCATTTTCTTTTAGCAACAACTTATAGCATCTCCTCAGTAGGCTTTGTTTCCTCTGCTACCCCCCCTCCCCGGGTAAGTAACTGAGGGAGACCACAATCATAGAGTGTGGACAGAAATCCTTCCCATTTTCCCAGGGAGGTCGACCTCCTCTTGTACCCTCAACCACCTGACCCCCTGTGGCCTAAGGGAGATGCTGGCAGAGTTCCTAGAGAAGACCCAGTCCTGGGACAGAGATAGGCGAGAAGATCTCCAACTCTGGCCCCATTCTTCATGGGGAGAGCGTGTGTGATTCTTTGTGTCTCCCCAACCAGCCTCTGGGGCTTCAGAGTACTTGGCTCCCTGTAGGAAGAGAATGAGCAAGAATGTCCCCGTGGATGCATGTAATCCAGGAAGGCCCCTCCACCAAGGGCCAAGTCAAACCAGGAGAGATCAGCACTCTAGCACTCTCTTCAAACAAGCCACTGGCTTCCAGAAACAGACGATTTGACAGATGAATTTCAAAAATTCTGGAACACAGCTTTACAAGGTGTCCAACGAAGGTCCAGAGTTTCTCTATGTCCCACCCTGCACTGCCCACCTCCTAATTGAGCACAGCACCACAAGGGAGAATGATTTTTGTCATTAAGGACAGGAATGGCCACATGGCTGATAAGGTCCAGAGATGCCTGCTTTATTTCTTACTAGGTGATTGCATTTCAGGCTGGCAACATCAAATAACAGTCTAATTACCAACTAATTTTGTACCTCTGAACTACAAATCAACAATCCAATTCAGCAAGGAACAACAGTGTCAACAGCTTATTGGAGAGGCTGGGTTTTCCACATAAATGGTTTTGGTTGGCAGTGCGCTATGTGCAGCCCAGGGTAAGGCCTGGGGTCAGTGAAAGACCCAACACCTGGCTGACTAGAGGCTAAAGCCCTGCAAATCCCTAGGCCAAAGCTCTCCATCCCAAATCTGAAGATCATCATTGTTGTTGCCCTTTTTGGGGCCACTTCAGCCCAAAACAGAGGCCAAGCAACCTGGGCCCGGTGAAGGGGTTCCAAAGCCTACTCAGCAGACATGCCCTCTGCCCTCACTCCCACCTAAAGCACAGCTCCTTCTGCAGGTCATTAGGGGAAAGCTAGGCTTCTGGTAGTTAACCATCTCTTTTAAGTTCTGCTTAAAGAAGCACCGACAGGGTTAACTGCAAGTGGGTGGGCACAGGTATGCCGGCAGAGATCCAGCAGCCCTGGCAGGTGAAGCTGGCTGGGCAGGGCCCCCCCTAAGAACTGGGATGAGTTTCTTGGGACTAGATCCTAGGGGAAGAATTCATTAACAAAATCCAAGATCGCAGGAGTGGGTGCCTATGAATAGGCAGAAACTCGGGGAAGGTCAAGATCCAGGGGTAAAAAAAGAGAAACAAGAAAGGAATGAGATCTATCACCTGCCAGGAGCTCAAAAAAAGTAAGCAATTACTACAGGAACCATTTCCATGGCTACTTGTTTTCCTCACCAAAAACCCCCACAGGCTTCCTTTTAGAGTTGGAGACCCCCTGCCCAAGAACCCACTGACAAGCTGTTGCTTTCCCCCCAGACCAAGAAAAATATGTCACCTGGGAGAGGCTGTTCCACTCACAGCTCTAAGCGGAGGCTTGCTGATGCCTAAGCTGATGCTGTGACCCTTTCTCTGCTCCACCTGCATGTGTGTCAATGAGCAGGTCCCCGGATCTGGCTGCCTAGGCTCTCTGTATGTGTGCTGACACCAGAGTCGGAGCCAGAGCCCTGACCTGCCAGCCCTTCACGCTTATCCACAGGAGAACGCCCTGGCAGAGCCTGCACCGGAGCTAGTGACTCCAAGAGAGTGATGCGGTCCCAGTTCTGGCCGGGTTATGCCATCCCCAAGAATCCCAAGCAGAGTGTCCGAACACGGTGGGTTCTTCTGCTGCTGAGAGGACGTGCACCCTAGGGTGCTAGCTGAAAAGTTAGCGCAGAAACAAGGCACCACAGAGAGGTTGGACACTTGGGTTGTGTGATTCAGGACACGCTGGAAGAGTCCAAGGGCGGAGGAGAGGAGAGGGAGGAGGAGGAGACTGAGTCTTAAATAACGTCTCGTGAGGCTGGAGCCCCACTAGATGGGCTCTGGTTTGAGCTTCTCTGCTAGGAAGTCATTCACAAAGGCCTCCACAATGGCAGGGGTGATCTCCTCCACATCCATCACGTACTTGGCCCTGGCTGACATGTCCAGGATAGTGAGCAAAGGCGCAGCCTCGGGCAGGTTGGTGTAATCTCGCAGGGAGTCGGTCATGTCATCCTGAAGGCAACAGGAGGGAGGGAAAACCAGTAAGTTTCAAAGACAAAGGGGAGAATCCGTGGGCCCAGTCTCCCAGACGGCACAGAAGTAAGTGGTTGTCCTGCAGAGAGGGCTCTCTCAAGGGGAGATGGGCTTACAGGATGGACAGCAGGGGCCCTCGCCCTGCCTTGAGGGGAGAGAGGCTGCTTTGTCCACTCCCTTTCTGTACTCCCCAGACCGCCAGGCACGTCATCTTTCTTTATTAGCGTGAAAGCAAGTTTAACATGTCCTCTGTGTTTTCAAAATGTGATGTCCTTGGGGCCAGCAGGTGGCATGGTGGTTAAGGAATTGGACTCCCACATGGTTGACAACAGTTCAAGTCCTGGACCTGGTGGCTTGAAAAATCACGCCAGGCCTGTGTGCATGCATGCTAGAAACTCTAAGAGGAGATTGGAGGAAAAGGGATTGTGGTGTGGCCTTCTTTAGAGGGTGACTTCTCACTTTCCTCTCACTGTCTGTGTCTCTCTCCAGTGAGTACGTGCACCCTATGGCAAAAACCTTAAACAAACAAAACAGGCGACGTCCTTTGATTGCTTACTTTTGCAGTCAACGCTTGAGTGTTTGCAGCCCCACTGTGGATGACCTGAAGCCAATGTAGACTTCAATTCTAGCACGTTTTTAAACAAGAATGGCTCACTGTCCCACCACTACCCTGTGACCTCAGGGAGGGCAGGAGTTGCACCACCTGCCAATTCAGATACCAAAGGTACTACAGCACCATGGACGCTTACACGGGTGTGCTGCTTTATCTGAGAAGGAAGCTGGCACTTGGTCACACATTCCCAGCAGCCGTCCCAGTGAACTTCTCTACAACCCGATTATGGCCTTACTCAAATAGAAAGGCAAACACAGAAATCCAAAGCCAACAGGAGCAGCCTTTTGGAATGACCTTGCATCCGGTTGTCTCTCATTTGGCTACAGGGAATGGACTCCACACACCCATCCTGGTTGTTTCACTCTAAAACGCACGAGATTCTAAATGGAATGAAAAACCTGAGCGGCCCTGCAGAGAAAGGCCTTGGGGTATTCTCAGCTTCAAGTGGTGGTGCAGGAGGCATGATGTTGACAGCTCATCGTGGGTTGTAGAGACAAAAACATTCCTTTCTCAAGAGGCAAATCTTTTTTTTTTTGAGAGTTTTTTGCTATAGGGCGCGTGCGCTCGCCAGACAGACAGAGAGAGACAGAGAGACAGAAAGCAAGAAATCACCCCCCAGGGGGGATGGCCACGCCGCAATCCCTTCTCCTCCATTCTCCTCCTGGGATCCTGGGCACGCCCGCACACACACATGCCCGGCGTGTTTTAAGCCACAGGGTCCAGGAAGCGAACCGCGGTCGACTACGTGGAAGTCCAGCGACATAGCCATTACGCTAACTGCTGGTCCCTCAAGAGGCAAATCTTTAGGAAGACTGTTAGAGAGGGCCTTTCTCCCCTCTCCCCCGAAAAGAGCACACACTTGCCAGTGATGCACAGCGAGTCCACATCTCTGACTCTCCTTACCCACTGCAGGACCCCCACATGGGTTAACAGCAAATCTTCGTGAACAGAGGGGAGACACCTGGACAGACAGCCCACATCTAACTGCCATCAGGAGGCCTGGACCAAGCCAAGCACCCTGCTGCCTGTGGAAAACCACCAGGAAAGGCTTCAGAAGGGGTAACTTCTCCCTACCACAGGGGATAGATCAAGACAGAAAGCAGGGGTCCCCCCTTAGCCCTGGGTAGCCCTGGGCCAGTGTCCTGGGCTCACAGGAGCTCAGTTAATGCATAATGTCCCAGCTTCCATGTCGCCTCACTTCTGAACATAAGGACGGAAAGCTGGACCATGACGCCAGTGGATGTAACAACCGCCCTGACTCATGAGGCTGCTGTGAGGGTAAATGGCTGTCAGCCCTCGCAGCCCAGCCTGGCGCGGGGACCCAGGGAACAGAGCAAACGCTGGTCCTGTCTGAGCCTCACTTCCTTCTCTGCAAAACAGGACAGTGATTCCGATCCGGTCTCGCAGTGAGGAGCAAAGGAGCTTGTGCAGGTGGAGCTTGGCTGGCACTGCTCTAGAGGGAACCTGCAGATGCTCCTTTCCAGCTCATTCTAAAGCACCCGCCCCACCCCCTGCTCAGCCCTTTCTGTTCTGCACCCATCTTTTCTCTCAGAGCCATTCTATAGGGGTTAGAGTTTAACAAATGCAGAGCAGCCTCCATGGAGCTTTGTGTGCAGGGCTGTTGCAGCCCTGAGGCAGGGCCTGTGAACCCTCTTTGTTCCCCTCCACCCTGCGCTGAGCAGGGGACTGGGGCTGCCCGCGAGGGGCCCTGCTGGCTGAGCAGGGGCTGCTATTGAGGAGGTGATGAATGGGTGGTTCAGGGCATCTGGCCGCCTGGTCTGTCTTCTTCGTGCCTCTCCTGGGACCCAAACACAGCGTGAAATGAGCACAGGGCTCAGACCAACTGGAGGTCGAGGCTGGTGGACGCAGGGCAGGGGCGGCTTCTAAAAGGGTCTGTCGATAACCGGCTTAAGGGGGTGACTGGGTGGGGTGGAGCATGCGTGGAAGCTCTTGGGGTGGGAGTGAGGTGAGCGCCTGCGCAGAGCGAGGCTGGCCATCTTGCACAGATGCCCGTGTCTGTGGGGCGCAGGTTCCGGCACCTCAGGCACTGGCCAGGAGGCTCCCTGGAGGTCCTACCTTCTTACCCTGTGAAAGTCCCCTATTGAGTCCAGCCTGGCTGGAGGCCTGCAAGGGACAGGCCTTGGGTGGAAGAGATCGGAATGGCAGCCATGTCCAACCTCAGTACTCTCCCTGGCTGGTGGGGTGACTGCAGGTCCCAGCCCTGGCTGAGCCAGGACCCCGTCACAGGTAAGTCCCTTTGCGGGCAGGTGTGGACACTGTAAAATATCCAGGGGCTGGTTCTGACCCAGCACAAGGGAGTCCGGGTATATCACAGTGTCCGTGGATCACAGGCTGCTCGGCTGCCACTGTCCCCAAGAGTCTGGGTAGGAAACAGTCCTTAGGGCTCCCTACTTTCCGAGGCTGCTGGGTGAGAAGGCCAGAACGAGCTGCAGGGGCAGGAAACGCTTTCCATGACCACGCACCTTTTCCTGCCACACTTGTCTCTGGGCTCTCCCAGAAGGACAGTCAGCCCAGACTTCAGGGTCCCTTCGAATATCCTGAGGCCAGAGTCACGTCCTCAATGTCCCCAGCTGAGCCAGCCTTGCCGGGTCCCTCCACACTCACCTCCCCGGCCACAAAGAATAGAAGTGGCGCCTCCTCCTCTTTGGCTTTGTACTTGGCAATGATTTTCTCAGCTATTGGCTGAATCAGTTGCTTGGCTGCCTCGGACTCTCCATCATCCTCAGAATCTGTGATGGGGAGCGAGAAAGACAAGAAGAAACACTGACTCTTCAGACAAATGGAGCGGTGCCCCCCCTTTTGCCCCCCCCTGAGCAGCCCAGGAATAGAGAAAGAACTTCCCACACACGCGGACCTTGCTTCCCCTGCTCACGGGTGTGTCTGCACCTGTGCGCGTGCACACACGCTGGCAGCAAGGCACACTCACACAGTGCACTCCTGCAGTGGGCTCACTAGGAAGTCCGCCTCACTGCGCAGCACCAGTGCCCTGCAGACAGCCTCTCCCTGAACGTGTTGCAAACCCTCCCTGTGAGACGAGCTGCCTGCCCTAAGCCAGGGCCCGAGGTCTCCGGTAATTATCTCCATCGCAGAAAGCGAAGCCATGACTTGGGCCTCCAGCTTCCCCATGAAAACAGCAGTACTGGCGGTGAGTGGGTGAAGGCCGCGGCCAGGCCAGTGGTTTGGATGGTGATGAGGGCTCCGCAGCACTGGATGGCCAACTTCACAGCTGGCAGCTGTACCGCCCGGGAGGAGGCAGGCTGGCCACATGGGAGGTCACCGGTCAGGCTTCCCAGAACACACTTTAGTCCCCTCTTGCCTTGCAATATACTAGGGTCACATGACTCGCT